ACTCATACACTTCTTTCTCATTGGCAGCTTTTTGGATATAAACCCGAGCAAAATTATTTGTGGACATCTGCAGGTTAATGGCTGCATGAATAACATCAATCACTCCTGCTAGAGTGTTATGGTCCCAATTTGGCTCGGTCCTCCCTCCATCGGATTTTTTTTTTACCTTCTATAAACTCGGCGAGATGTCTAGTCTAGACCAACTTCTCCAAATGCTGCTTTAGAGATCGGCAGTTCTCAGTCATGTGACCCACATTCCTGTGATATGAACACCTAAAATTTGGATTTCTTTTAGAAGGATCTCCTATTAACTTGTTCAGCCATTTGAAAAACAGCTTTGTCTTAATCTAGCTTAGTATCTTATATATTGGTTCCTTGAACAATGTATTTACCCCCAGAAATGGGGACTTCTGAGGATATCCACCATTCTCATTCTTCCTTCCTCCCTCTCTGTTCGGCTCGGTCTGCTTGTCTCTATCGAACTGTCTCTTGCTCGGATGTTCTTTAACCTTATCTCTAGATAAGTCGTCATCGAATTTGGCCTACTTTTCAGTCCTAGACATCAGCTCTTCCAGATTGGTGTCTAGCCTTCTTGTGAGCAACTGATATAGGGGGTTCTCCTTTGGCAACCCGATCTTGAAGGATGCAACTGCAATCTTTGGATTGTACCTTTCCACCTCGTTTATTGTTTCCCAATAACAACGAGCGTACTCTCGCAGGCTTTTGTTATTCTTTTTCTTTAGCGTCAATAGTGCTCCAACATCCTTCGGCTACTTGCTGCTCGTTATGAACCGAGCTGTGAACTGTTCAGCTAACTGAGACCACCCATTGATTGTTCCCTTTGGTAGGCTGTCAAACCACTTCATGGCTGACTCCCTAAAACTGCTAGGGAAGATAGTATAGAGTAGGGGCTCATTTTTTTGATGAATGGTCATCAACTGTTTGTAATGCCTGATGTGCGAGGATGGGTCGGTCTTCCGTCGTATAGTCTAAAGTTCAGGACGATGAATTTGCTCAAAATCTGTCCTTTTTCAATCCAAACTGTAAATGGAGATGACTCCGAATCGTCTCCATATTCTCTTGTCGCTCTTCTGGCCAGATCCCTAGCTGACCTCTATTCTAGTCTCCTTAAGCGGTTGTTGAGTTCCTCAGTAATGTATTGTTTCCATGCAACCTCCTCATGAACCCGAGGTTTCTTCTGCTGGTGACGATCTTCATTGTTGCTTTTGTATCTATCGGGTTTCCTCTTAGAACTTTCCCAATGGCTTTCCCTCGCGCGTTTCTCTTTCCTGGTCATTTCTTTTATCCTGGCTTTAAGTTCTTCGTTTTCTTTGATCAGATCTCTTTTCCAAGCATAAGACTTCTTGAACAACTTGTCATGAGCATCAAGTCTGTCCTGTAGGGACTGAACCAACTTCACCGGGGAGTGATTTTTCCCCTCGGCACGAAGGGATTCACCACGATCTTCAATTTGATGGTTCTGAGTCTTCAAGGGTCTGAAACTGGCAGAGGACATCTCTTCACCTTCATGGGATTTGGAAGGGCTTCCTTTTGCCTGAAACTGCACGTTGCTACTAGGTGGGATGGATGCAGGATCAGAGTCTCCCAACGCAAAACTGCCTATCGGTGATCCAATTGCGCTTTTGAGCTTAGACATTGTGGCTTCTTGTTGCAAAAGATGAAAATCTTCCCACAGATGGTGCCAAATGTAGGAGGCAAAAAATCAAGATTACCTCCTACTGGAATTGAAATGTTAGTATGTTTCTGAACTTGATCCCCAGTCTTCCTCTTCCTGCAAAATGAACAAACTGCCCAAGATCGAAGTGCTTCGATCGAAAGCACTCTGATACTTAAGTCAGTAGAGGTGATGAAACAAATGGAAGAAGACCAAGAGAGTTCAACATACCTTTCTTCTTGGCTCTTTTTGCTTTTTATAGATGGTCATCCCCTTAGGGTTTCCGTGATTCTTGATTCAAGGTAGCACACCTTTTTTCAATTCAGTGATTCGATTTGGGAAGTTGCTGATATTTCTCAATTATTTTCTCCTGATATCTTCAATTTCTCTGATTCTCTTATCTGATTGCCTAAGTTATAGGCGAAATTTTATCTCTCTGTTTATTATTTAAAACAGCTTGGACATATCGAATGCTGAGCACACTTGATATTTGCTGAACAGTTTAAGGGTCTTGTTTTGGCACAAGCCGAGCTCTTTCCTTGCTTAGCTGAACTGATGAGTTCGGTCATAAAGAGAATCGAACTTTTTCTCCTATTGCCGAACCTCTAATTAGTTCGGCTTGGTTAAAAAGCTTAATAAAGGATTCTTTTATCATGTGTCTTGTCTTGTTTTGTCAACATCATGTGAAAACATTTAATGCTATGTCACGTGTAATCATGAGATTTAACCCCTTCAACATCTACATGGGACCCACCGATTCATCAAAATGGTCGACCTATTTTTCTTTCCTAGCCTAGCAAAGATTCTAGGCTAGTGATCCTTACCAAAACCCCAGGTCTTTTCATGTTTGGTTTGGCGTACTTTGAGTTTGAATAGAATTGATTTTTGTTGGCATGGGAATGATCAAAATTTCATTTGATTTTGTTTGTTTCAATTGATATGGTATGGTTTAGTGGAAATCAAACTGGAACAATGGTGGAAAATCAAAATTCTCATACTTTCGGAATATTTCGAGATGTTTTGTAATGTTTTTGAATGTTTTGAAATCATAATTTCATTTTTTCTCTCTATTCCCATTCTATTTCCGAATCATTTTCGAAAAGTTCTCAAAATGTTTTTGTTGTTGCGTTGATTGTATTCATCTAAATGAAATTCTGATCCAAGGTGTGGTTTTTTTTTTTCTCAAGCTGGTTAGATCTTGTGCCTTGTGCTGAATGAAGGTAGTTTAGATAGTAGTGTTTAAAATTTTTTGGCCATATTTGGTTAGCATCTGCAAAACAGTTTCCTGTTCTCAAAATTTTAAAAACTCCAAAAATCTGTTTATTTAGCATTTTTGTTCTCTAAATTTTGGGGAAAAAAAAAAGAGATTTGAGTCAAAGAAACAGAAAACAAGTATAGCTTGTTTTCAGAGTTTTCTTTGAAAATTTTAAAAACAAGGAGAACAATATATATATATATATATTTTAAAGTTTGGTTTATTGATTTTTTTTTATGAAATTGTCAATCTAAAATTAAATTTTTTATATTTTTTTTTATTAATGTTTGAATTACTGTTCAAGTATATATTTAGGCTGTCCAAACAGGTTTTACTATTTTCTATATTGTAAAATTATTTTTTTTATTATCTAATTAACCAAGTTTTTTATTTAAAAAAAATATCAAAATCACTTTTTTAAAACTCTTTTCAAAAACTATTTTCGAATACTATTTTTTGAAATGCAAACCAAACAGCCCTTTGTTTTTGACTTTGTCAAGTTTGGTTTGGGCGTTATATTCTGTCACTAGAATCTAATAGGATCATCAATTGCTTGTAGCCTTGTTTAATAGACCTTGTTTAAGTGACACTCCATAATCTTCAAAACAGAAGCACGTAAAATATTTCAAACAACGGTTCAAATTCTTAACTAATTAAATGTGGTGAAGCACAAAAACTAACTTCGTTTTCTGAAGACATTCTTTCTATTCTATGATATCTTGATCTTGCAATGCTACAACTTATGAGGTTCTCTTGTCAAAACACCAACACTTGAAGGGATGTGAGGTTACACAATCTAGAGATTTGAAATCTTTTAACCCCCTAATTATACTATCAAGTGTCAACCATTTGAAACTTTAGCTTGAGAAAATGGGCAGATTTTTTGAGGTTAAATAAGTTTGTGAATACCCAACTATAACACATAATGAGTATGTTTTGATTCAAAAATTGATTTTTTCACCATTCGTGATGCAAGTTTGAGTCTTGGTTCAAACTTCCACACAACTTTCATCATCTTTTTTTTTTTTNCATCTTTTTTCATTGATTATAAATGAATTGACTTGAAATATTCAAGATGAGCACCCACCATGGTATATGTTATTTGTGGATGATATTGTATTAGCTGATGAAAGTAAACAAAAAATTAATAATAAACTAGAACTATAGAGAAAAACTCAAGAATCAAAAGGATTTTGGATAATTTAGACTAAAATTGAATATATGGAGTGTAAATTTAGTAAAATGAGGAATTCAAATTGTGAAGTAGTAAAAATTGAAGATCAAGAGATACCAAAGAATGAACATTTTAAATATTTAGGGTCTATTATCCATAAAGAATGTGAGATTGGTGATGATCTTACTTGTAGAATCATTGTAGGATGTACCAAATCGAGGAATGCATCCGAGGTATTTAGTAACAAACGCATACCACTTAAGCTAAAAGGAAAATTCTATACAAGGGCCATAAGACCCTCTATACTTTATGGTACTGAGTGTTGGGCAACAAAGATACAACAAGTTCACAAATTAAGCGTCACAGAAATGAGAATATTAAGATAGATGTGTGGCAAAACTAGAAAGAATAGAATTATGAGCAAAATAATCTGTGAAAAAGTAGAGGTGAGAGATAAATTAAGGAAGAATCAACTTAGGTGGTTTGGACACATCTATAGACGGCCTACTACGGCACCAGTGAGAAAGTGATATGATAGCTATTGAAAATAAGCATAAGGTAGGGATATGTCAAAATTAACTTTAAGTGAAATAGTAAAGAAAGACATTATAAGTTCCGGTTTAATAGAAATCATAGCCCTTGACGGAGCACAATGGCAAAAGAGGATTCATGTAGCTTACTCCAAATATATTCAAACAAGGCTGAGTCGAGTTGAGGTTAGGTTCTTGGATAACTTTTTTGTACAAACATTGATGTTCAGTTTATTATATACTCATCTACTCTTCAAAATCTCTTAACTTCATGTTTTCTTATGAGTGATTTACAGATAATGGAATGCTTGTCTTCGCAACATTCCTTTTAATTAGTACCAAAAACAGTTTCTGTTGTTACCAGTTCTAGTTTATCTTGTGTATGAGTATAAAAAGTTTGAGAAGATAAACACTCGTAGAGAGATTGAGGAATGTAGCACTAATTGTACCTAAAATGTCCTGCAACATTGATTGAACTTTTACATAAACCAAAATCAAAAGAGAAACTGACTGGATATTTAGGAAACTTGTAACTTAACTATCTCCCTTTCTCTCTAAATTTATATTATTCCATAATTTGGAACATAGATTCTTTTCTGTTATTATTTGGGGATTAACTGGTTAGATAATATCACTGAATAATTAATAATTCTACATGATTAATAGTTTCATATAAAACAAAACTGAAAGAGATATTTAGGCAACAATTCACTTAACCATCTCTCCCATTATCTCTGAATTTATATTATTGCATAACTTGGAACATAGATTCTTTTCCCTTTTTATTTGGAGGTTAACTGTTTAGATAATATCAGCCCCACAACCTCAGGAACCTTTGGTGTAGTGCAGTTGAAAAGAATGACATCTACATTTGATCAGATACTTACTGCTTGCATTAGATCATAAATTTCAGACTCCTTAAGATTAGCACCAACTTTCTTTAATCCGGCTTTGAGTTCTTCGAAAGTAATTTGACCACTGTTGTCTGTGTCCATCATCTTGAACATTTCTTTCAGGCCAGCAATTTCTTCCTCAGATAGGCTCTCCGCAATGACCTGCAAGAAGAAATGCATTTTCTTATGATCAATGATTACCAAATAGACGTTTTAGCCTAAATTTTGTGAGTATATTTCTTTTTAAATAAGCTAATTGTAAGGGGTAGAACCCTCTACTAAGGATTTCGGCTTGACCTGGGTTAACCCACGCGGGCGACCCCCAGTAGCTTTTACCTCTCTTCGCCAGTAGGATCCTTTCCTAAGACAATCCCACATCGAAAGAGAGTCGTCTCCCTCCTGCCATATAAGTGAACACTTCCTATGGAGGAGGTACCCACTAGCTCAGGTGCCTAGTGGGTACCTCCTCCATAGGAAGTGTTCACTTATATGGCAGGGGGGAGACGACTCTCTTTCGATGTGGGATTGCCTTAGGAAATGGTCTTATTGGCGAAGAGAGGTAAAAGCTACTGGGGGTCGCCCGCGTGGGTTAACCCAGGTCAAGCCGAAATCCTTAGTAGAGGGTTCTACCCCTTACAATTAGCTTATTTAAAAAGAAATATACTCACAAAATTTAGGCTAAAACGTCTATTTGGTAATCATTGATCATAAGAAAATGCATTTCTTCTTGCAGGTCATTGCGGAGAGCCTATCTGAGGAAGAAATTGCTGGCCTGAAAGAAATGTTCAAGATGATGGACACAGACAACAGTGGTCAAATTACTTTCGAAGAACTCAAAGCCGGATTAAAGAAAGTTGGTGCTAATCTTGAGGAGTCTGAAATTTATGATCTAATGCAAGCAGTAAGTATCTGATCAAATGTAGATGTCATTCTTTTCAACTGCACTACACCAAAGGTTCCTGAGGTTGTGGGGCTGATATTATCTAAACAGTTAACCTCCAAATAAAAAGGGAAAAGAATCTATGTTCCAAGTTATGCAATAATATAAATTCAGAGATAATGGGAGAGATGGTTAAGTGAATTGTTGCCTAAATATCTCTTTCAGTTTTGTTTTATATGAAACTATTAATCATGTAGAATTATTAATTATTCAGTGATATTATCTAACCAGTTAATCCCCAAATAATAACAGAAAAGAATCTATGTTCCAAATTATGGAATAACATAAATTTAGAGAGAAAGGGAGATAGTTAAGTTACAAGTTTCCTAAATATCCAGTCAGTTTCTCTTTTGATTTTGGTTTATGTAAAAGTTCAATCAATGTTGCAGGACATTTTAGGTACAATTAGTGCTACATTCCTCAATCTCTCTACGAGTGTTTATCTTCTCAAACTTTTTATACTCATACACAAGATAAACTAGAACTGGTAACAACAGAAACTGTTTTTGGTACTAATTAAAAGGAATGTTGCGAAGACAAGCATTCCATTATCTGTAAATCACTCATAAGAAAACATGAAGTTAAGAGATTTTGAAGAGTAGATGAGTATATAATAAACTGAACATCAATGTTTGTACAAAAAAGTTATCCAAGAACCTAACCTCAACTCGACTCAGCCTTGTTTGAATATATTTGGAGTAAGCTACATGAATCCTCTTTTGCCATTGTGCTCCGTCAAGGGCTATGATTTCTATTAAACCGGAACTTATAATGTCTTTCTTTACTATTTCACTTAAAGTTAATTTTGACATATCCCTACCTTATGCTTATTTTCAATAGCTATCATATCACTTTCTCACTGGTGCCGTAGTAGGCCGTCTATAGATGTGTCCAAACCACCTAAGTTGATTCTTCCTTAATTTATCTCTCACCTCTACTTTTTCACAAATTATATTGCTTATAATTCTATTCTTTCTAGTTTTGCCACACATCTATCTTAATATTCTCATTTCTGTGACGCTTAATTTGTGAACTTGTTGTCTCTTTGTTGCCCAACACTCAGTACCATAAAGTATAGAGGGTCTTATGGCCCTTGTATAGAATTTTCCTTTTAGCTTAAGTGGTATGCGTTTGTTACTAAATACCCCGGATGCATTCCTCGATTTGGTACATCCTACAATGATTCTACGAGTAAGATCATCACCAATCTCACATTCTTTATGGATAATAGACCCTAAATATTTAAAATGTTCATTCTTTGGTATCTCTTGATCTTCAATTTTTACTACTTCACAATTTGAATTCCTCATTTTACTAAATTTACACTCCATATATTCAATTTTAGTCTAAATTATCCAAAATCCTTTTGATTCTTGAGTTTTTCTCTATAGTTCTAGTTTATTATTAATTTTTTGTTTACTTTCATCAGGTAATACAATATCATCCACAAATAACATACACCATGGTGGGTGCTCATCTTGAATATTTATAGTCAATTCATTTATAATCAATGAAAAAAGATGTAGACTCTAAGTAGAACCCTGATGTAAGCCTACGGTGATTAAACATTCATTAGTTTCTCTTGTCGTTGTTCTAGTTATTACAACATGAAAAAGTTATTCTAGAATCTCACGAAGGAAAAACTGTTTAGCATGGGGATGTTTTTCATGTAGTCGTNTATTCTGTCACTAGAATCTAATAGGATCATCAATTGCTTGTAGCCTTGTTTAATAGACCTTGTTTAAGTGACACTCCATAATCTTCAAAACAGAAGCACGTAAAATATTTCAAACAACGGTTCAAATTCTTAACTAATTAAATGTGGTGAAGCACAAAAACTAACTTCGTTTTCTGAAGACATTCTTTCTATTCTATGATATCTTGATCTTGCAATGCTACAACTTATGAGGTTCTCTTGTCAAAACACCAACACTAGAAGGGATGTGAGGTTACACAATCTAGAGATTTGAAATCTTTTAACCCCCTAATTATACTATCAAGTGTCAACCATTTGAAACTTTAGCTTGAGAAAATGGGCAGATTTTTTGAGGTTAAATAAGTTTGTGAATACCCAACTATAACACATAATGAGTATGTTTTGATTCAAAAATTGATTTTTTCACCATTCGTGATGCAAGTTTGAGTCTTGGTTCAAACTTCCACACAACTTTCATCATCTTTTTTTTTTTTGTGTAGTATCCCATGTGGTTCTAGAAAATTTATGCTCTAGTGTATAATTTTGAACTGATAATTTCCCTCCTCAGGGGATAAATTCAGTGATGTGGTTGGCAGCCCGTATTATGTTGCACCAGAAATTCTAAGGAAGCGCTATGGTCCTGAAGCAGATGTATGGAGTGCTGGAGTAATCGTGTACATTTTATTAAGTGGAGTACCTCCTTTCTGGGCTGGTGAGAATTTGGGAATTCTTTAATTATTAGAAACGACATCACTCTCACTCATTGTAATTGTTTTCCCCTTCTTTCTTACTTTTTTTTCCCATTAACTTTTTGTGATCAAATAGAAAGCGAGAAAGGAATATTTGAACAAGTTCTGCGTGGTGATCTTGATTTCTCCTCAGATCCTTGGCCAAGTATTTCAGAAGGTGCAAAAGACTTGGTGAGGAGAATGCTTGTCCGAGACCCCAAAAGGCGACTAACTGCTCATGAAGTTTTGTGTAAGTCTTTATTTTGGATAGATTTACATGTTGTGACATGTGACTTCTTGTCCCTCATATAATCATTTTTCTATATTAATAAAATATTTGCTGCTGATCATAAAAAAAAGATCATTGGATTCTAGTTGAGAAGTCAGTTTGAGTAATATTTGTACTGCTTTCATTGCATTGAAATGCATAGGTTGTATTGGGTGTTTAAGGACTTAGGGCTCTCTTACGCATCAAAAAAAAAAAAAAAAAAGGAAGTGCTAGAAACTTGAAAAAAACCTTCTCACTATTGCCACTTGAGCTTTCATGGCCACATCCCTTGTTTCTTGTTTCTTGTAATATCTATATAATAAAGTAGAACGAATTTGAATTTTGGATGCAAAGAATGGTTAAGATCNCCTTCTCACTATTGCCACTTGAGCTTTCATGGCCACATCCCTTGTTTCTTGTTTCTTGTAATATCTATATAATAAAGTAGAACGAATTTGAATTTTGGATGCAAAGAATGGTTAAGATCGTTTCGTGACAAAAAAAAAACATCATCTAACGGACGATGTTATCCCAAACTATCTCGAGCTATTAACGTGTCAGATCGTTTTGATCAGATGTACTACATTAATTCTTTTAAAATATTTTTACTACTCAAAATTTATAGTTTTCAAATTTGATATTCCAAAATTTAATTCTCTCAAATCNATTTCGTGATAAAAAAAAACATCATCTAACGGACGATGTTATCCCAAACTATCTCGAGCTATTAACGTGTCAGATCGTTTTGATCCGATGTACTACATTAACTCTTTTAAAATATTTTTGCTACTCAAAATTTATAGTTTTCAAATTTGATATTCCAAAATTTAATTCTCTCAAATCGTTTCCTTAAATCGAGCAAATCTCTCTCTCTCCCATCCCACAATATTTTTCTCTGTATCTCACGAAAATATTAGATAGTGTCTGATTCAAGAAAATACTACATCTCTCTGTAGATAAATAATATATATCACACAGACAGATAGTATATTACGAAAATATTCCTCAGTATTTCTCTTTGAAGGAAAATTATTTAATAAATATTAGATATATAGTATATATCACGAAAATATTCATCTGTATCTTTTTCTTTCATTCAAGTAATACTACAAACACGAATCATACAAATTTCAATAGTCAATTTTATTTTTCTATAATAAATAAAAAAAAAGCATAATTGGCAAAAAATCTAATTTAACAAAGAAAATATGTTTAACATGCAAAATATACAAGATTAAATTCAAATTATTGGGCAACTCAGATATCAAAGGATATATTATAAAAAATATGCTTAACATTTAAAATATAAAAAATTAAATTCATATACAAACATGAATTATACAAATTCAATCTTTAGTGAGCAACATAAAACAACAATATTTATTAAATAATTCAAATCTAAATACCCTAAAAAAATGATACAAAATTACAAGCAAGAAAAACGATACAAAATTATAAGTAATATTATGAAAAAAAATCATACAAATTCAATATTTAGTGAACAACACGAAATATTAATCTTTACTAAATAATTCAATANCACAATCCCAAAGGAGAACAAAATAAAAACAGAGACACAAGGACAAGACTGCAATAACCTACAACCAGTCCAATAAAAACAGGCAGAGGAAGTCTGGGGGGGTTGCATTTTGCACTCCCCACAGATTACAAAGCCAGTAAACAACAAACCGAATTTCTATCTGGTGCAAAAAACAAGAGCCTGGAAGTTGCCAAGAAGAAGTAGCTTGTCTATGAAGATGGGTGTCCTTGATTTTGATTGAAAGAAGCCTACTTCTCACCATATTCAAAATCATCATCTGGGTAGTACCTGGATCATTGTGCTCATTGGTGAAAATTCTATGATTTCTTTCTCCCCAAATAATATAAACAGTGACAACAAGGCATAATTTCCTAATGGAATTTCTGAAGATGTTTGTCTTTCCATTGGGTGGACATAGCCTCAATGAGACTTTGCTGAGAAGAAGATTGCCATGACCAATCACACTTACTGATGACATTCCTCCAAACTCTTTTTGAGTATGAGCATTCAAAAAAAAGACGGGAGTGAGATTCTTGATCAGCTCTGCAAAGTACACAAGTAGTTCCAATGTTGAGTGAAAAACTATGGATTTTGTCCTTTGTGGCCAGTCTACACCTTATACCAAGCCAAAGGATAAAACTGGCCTAAGGAATGCAAAGATTGAACCAAAGGAGATGGTACCACAATACCTCTGGTTTCTTGCTCCTAATTTGATTCCAAGCTGAAGAGGTAGAAAACTTGCCATGGACCTGTGGAATCCATTTGATCTCATCCTTTTTCTCAATTGTAGGGGAGTAATTGGGCATAGAATATATGATCTCATCAATAATTCTAGAGTTTCTAGGATTTGTTGAAGGCCACTTCCATTGATTTCCTTGGATAATGGAAACAACTTTAGCATTCTTAGTGATCCCAGAATCATAAATAACTCTAGGACCCCATTTAAGAAGGAGAGGACCGTTAGGATGCCAAAAATCATGCCAGAGAGATGTATTCCTACCATTGCCAATAACATAATGAAGGAAAGGTCTTGCTAATTCCCTAACTTGCAGCAGCTTCCTCCAATTCCATGAACAGATCTGTGGAGTTTTGACTTTCCAAATGCTTTTGCCTCTAAGATGATGCTCATTGATCCAGCTGGTCCAAGTGTTGTTCTCATTAGAAATTAAGTGCCAAAGGTGCTTGAGCATAAGAGCTTTGTTTCAAGCCCTTAAATCTTTCAATTCTAAGCCCCCTTCCTTTATGGGTACACAAACCTATCTCCAAGCAACCTTGGCCCCCTTTGTTTTCATTTCAGTACCAGACTATAAAAATGATCTTAGTTTCTGATCAATAGCATGGAGAATCTTCTTAGGAAGCATAAGATGACTAGCCCAATAAACTTGAACGCTACATAACATAGATTTAATGAGCTGGGGTCTCCCAGCATAAGACAAAGCTCTATTAACCCAGGAGTTTATCCTTGAGTCCATTTTTTCAAGTAATAAAGAGCAGTCTTGCAACTTGAGCTTAGTGGTGAAAATAGGGATCCTAATATATTTCACAGGCAGACAACCAATAGAAAAACCGAAACACTCAATCATCAACTGTTGTTGCTCATCTTGAACACTTGAAAGGAAGATGTGGCTCTTGGAAGGATTAGCCTTTAAGCCAGATAACATTTGGAATTTATCCAGAGCCCGTCTAAGAACTTCAACTGATTTAGGGTCCCCATGACATAACATGATTAAATCATTTGCAAAGCAAAGATGAGAGATCTTTTCTCTTTTGCATCTCCAATGATATTTAAACTAAGGCTCATCATGAATGCCTTGCTTAAGAATTCTTGACAGCATATCCATCACAATGACAAATAAATAAGGAGACATTGGGTCACCTTGTCGAAGACCTCTGCCACTTGGGAAATACCCTGCCAATTCACCATTAACATTGATAGAAAACTTGGGAGTAGTAATGCATTCACTAATCCATTTGACCACAACTCTGGGGAGATTAAGAGTAGCAAGCACATCGAGCAAGAAATCCCAGTCAACCATGTCAAAAGCTTTCATTAAATCAACCTTGATAGCACACTTGGATGACCCATCATTCTTATGATAGTTCCTTAGCAATTCCTGGGCCAGAAGAATATTGTCCCCTATTCTCATTCCCTTTATTTGTAGGAGTATTGTTTTAATTTTTATTCTATTAGTTATGAATTATGTTATTATTTAAATAAAATTGATTATGAATGTTAAAATCATGTATTTTGAATTAAAAAAAATATTAAATATTGTCAATTGATATAATTTTTCAGATGTTTGAATTATTATGTTTCAGTAGTTATAACATAATTTTCGTGGCGTAACAATTTAATATGAAAATATATACTATGTATGTAAGTTGATGTTATAAAAAATATTAGCGGACTCATTTTATTCGTTGTTTACTACAATGTTATATTTTACTTTACATTTATATATGAACAAATATTTGTAACTAATTTATGAGTAACACCGTATCTTCAGGCACGGATAATTGCTAGTGATATATATATATATATATAGGCAGGTGTTGATGTTATTGTTTTAGAGCTGTTGTTAACTCCTAATGCATGACATACACACATAACAATTACGTCTTACGGGCCCATATAGTGCTTTCTTCATACTACATGTTAACTGTTTCTTCTTAAAAACAACATATCCCGGTGGATAAACCATATATACTTCCTCCTAAAGGACATGGTGTTGAAAGGTATCCTTTATCTCCAACTGATATAAGGTCAATTAGAACTCACTGCAACATAAAGAACTCTAAAATGTTAAATATGACTAACGAAAGAAAAAGTCTCAAAGTAANAGTTGAAAGGTATCCTTTATCTCCAACTGATATAAGGTCAATTAGAACTCACTGCAACATAAAGAACTCTAAAATGTTAAATATGACTAACGAAAGAAAAAGTCTCAAAGTAATCTGCTTCATATGCCTAGGACTAGGTGTGGCCCTTGACAACCTATTGTTTTTTGAGTGCTCAGCAAAATTATGAATGATAGTTTATAGTATAGNTGGCCCTTGACAACCTATTGTTTTTTGAGTGCTCAGCAAAATTATGAATGATAGTTTATAGTATAGACTCAATGACAACTAATAATCTACTTACTAGAATAAGAGTGCGGTTCTATGTCTGTTTCTGATGAAAAGCATTCATTTATGTATCTGTAATGAGTTTCCATCTAGAAGGTGTTAAGGCTTGTTTGAATGAATTAGGAACAGACACAAAATACAATGATGATGCAAAATATCGAAAGATGAGGAAAGTCGATGAAAAGAGACAAGCGTTGAAATGGCCGGCATTGGACAACTAGGAGCACTTTGCTTAGCACAAACATTGAACAAAAGAAGGGGGCCAAATAGAAGTTTCTCCAGTGAATGTTCACACAGGCATGAGACAACCGAGCACTCTTTCAAGCAATAATCACTCACTAATAAGCCAAACAAGTAGAGGTTACTCTAAGTAATCTTTCCAAGCATTAGCACACCCCTTAGGTGAGAAGCAAAGCATAAAAAACTTCATATTTTAAAAAAATGATGAATTGAAAAATTAGAACCATTTCTTCCAAAAAAAATTCTAAAATAGNTTAGCACACCCCTTAGGTGAGAAGCAAAGCATAAAAAACTTCATATTTTAAAAAAATGATGAATTGAAAAATTAGAACCATTTCTTCCAAAAAAAATTCTAAAATAGAAAAACCTTTCCAAATGGCTTCAAAATATCAAACAATAATCATTATAAATTTAGCACGAGAAGAGAAGCATGAGCATGGGTTTTGGGTGTCGTAAAATGTGAACCAACAAACTAGTGATGAAGTCAGCGACTGTAACAGTATTGTATTCTCTCTTGTTACCTTCTGCTTCATTCTTGTAACATCTTTCCTTCGATCAATCTTCCATACAAGTTAAAACTTACACTAGTATAGTATTAGGATTTAGGAGAAAGAAAGTGAGGAAGAAAATGGTGAATGTAAAGATAACTTGTATCCCATTCCCACTTTGAATGATTAGGGATACCCAAGTTTGGTTTATGTACTTGAGGGGTCACTCGTGTTATTGTCAATTAATTTTGGGTTGGATGCTTTAACGTGGTATTAGAGATAGGTCTTGTGTGGTCAGTATGCTTAGCCTCTTAACCATTTGAGTTTCCTGATATGCATAATTTTAATTGTCTGTTTGTTTAGTAGCCCCATGTGTAAGCTGAGTCCCGCAGTAGGGAGGGTGTAAAGCAATCTTGTATCTCATATTGAATGATTAGAGCTGCCCAAGGTTGATTTGTATACTTGAGGGGTCACTCTATCCATAACCAATTGGTTTTGGGATGAATGTTCTACTAGTGAAAACAATGTATTGTGTAGGATGTTGATGGCCTATATTCATCACTTGTTTATATGAGAAGAGTATGAAGCTATTATAATATTTCTTTACACTAGAATATTGTAAGTTGTAACCAATAAATGGAAAAAATGGAAAAGAAGAACTCTAACTAAGTCCTCTATCTTGAAGATTGATTTGGTTAACCTTGCCAGGTCACCCTTGGGTTCAAGTTGATGGTGTGGCTCCAGACAAGCCTCTTGACTCTGCAGTTTTAAGTCGCCTGAAGCAATTTTCTGCCATGAACAAGCTCAAGAAAATGGCTCTTATAGTTAAGTTTTAGGATGTGCAATACATGCTCTTGAAAACTAGCATTCAGGCCATAAATCAAACATTGAAAACTATCTGTGCATTAGTTTATTTAAAAAGAAATATACTCACAAAATTTAGGCTAAAACGTCTATTTGGTAATCATTGATCATAAGAAAATGCATTTCTTCTTGCAGGTCATTGCGGAGAGCCTATCTGAGGAAGAAATTGCTGGCCTGAAAGAAATGTTCAAGATGATGGACACAGACAACAGTGGTCAAATTACTTTCGAAGAACTCAAAGCCGGATTAAAGAAAGTTGGTGCTAATCTTGAGGAGTCTGAAATTTATGATCTAATGCAAGCAGTAAGTATCTGATCAAATGTAGATGTCATTCTTTTCAACTGCACTACACCAAAGGTTCCTGAGGTTGTGGGGCTGATATTATCTAAACAGTTAACCTCCAAATAAAAAGGGAAAAGAATCTATGTTCCAAGTTATGCAATAATATAAATTCAGAGATAATGGGAGAGATGGTTAAGTGAATTGTTGCCTAAATATCTCTTTCAGTTTTGTTTTATATGAAACTATTAATCATGTAGAATTATTAATTATTCAGTGATATTATCTAACCAGTTAATCCCCAAATAATAACAGAAAAGAATCTATGTTCCAAATTATGGAATAATATAAATTTAGAGAGAAAGGGAGATAGTTAAGTTACAAGTTTCCTAAATATCCAGTCAGTTTCTCTTTTGATTTTGGTTTATGTAAAAGTTCAATCAATGTTGCAGGACATTTTAGGTACAATTAGTGCTACATTCCTCAATCTCTCTACGAGTGTTTATCTTCTCAAACTTTTTATACTCATACACAAGATAAACTAGAACTGGTAACAACAGAAACTGTTTTTGGTACTAATTAAAAGGAATGTTGCGAAGACAAGCATTCCATTATCTGTAAATCACTCATAAGAAAACATGAAGTTAAGAGATTTTGAAGAGTAGATGAGTATATAATAAACTGAACATCAATGTTTGTACAAAAAAGTTATCCAAGAACCTAACCTCAACTCGACTCAGCCTTGTTTGAATATTTTTGGAGTAAGCTACATGAATCCTCTTTTGCCATTGTGCTCCGTCAAGGGCTATGATTTCTATTAAACCGGAACTTATAATGTCTTTCTTTACTATTTCACTTAAAGTTAATTTTGACATATCCCTACCTTATGCTTATTTTCAATAGCTATCATATCACTTTCTCACTGGTGCCGTAGTAGGCCGTCTATAGATGTGTCCAAACCACCTAAGTTGATTCTTCCTTAATTTATCTCTCACCTCTACTTTTTCACAGATTATTTTGCTCATAATTCTATTCTTTCTAGTTTTGCCACACATCTATCTTAATATTCTCATTTCTGTGACGCTTAATTTGTGAACTTGTTGTATCTTTGTTGCCCAACACTCAGTACCATAAAGTATAGAGGGTCTTATGGCCCTTGTATAGAATTTTCCTTTTAGCTTAAGTGGTATGCGTTTGTTACTAAATACCTCGGATGCATTCCTCGATTTGGTACATCCTACAATGATTCTACAAGTAAGATCATCACCAATCTCACATTCTTTATGGATAATAGACCCTAAATATTTAAAATGTTCATTCTTTGGTATCTCTTGATCTTCAATTTTTACTACTTCACAATTTGAATTCCTCATTTTACTAAATTTACACTCCATATATTCAATTTTAGTCTAAATTATCCAAAATCCTTTTGATTCTTGAGTTTTTCTCTATAGTTCTAGTTTATTATTAATTTTTTGTTTACTTTCATCAGCTAATACAATATCATCCACAAATAACATATACCATGGTGGGTGCTCATCTTGAATATTTCAAGTCAATTCATTTATAATCAATGAAAAAAGATGTAGACTCTAAGTAGAACCCTGATGTAAGCCTATGGTGATTAAAAATTCATTAGTTTCTCTTGTCGTTGTTCTAGTTATTACAACATGAAAAAGTTATCCTAGAATCTCACGAAGGAAAAACTGTTTAGCATGGGGATGTTTTTCATGTAGTCGTAACTATAAAAAGTTGAGGGNCTAGAATCTCACGAAGGAAAAACTGTTTAGCATGGGGATGTTTTTCATGTAGTCGTAACTATAAAAAGTTGAGGGTGATTAAAGTTGATTCATTGTACTTTTGTCTTTCTTTTTCTATAATTGCATGTAGTTAATATCTAGCAGTACACCCGATAAAGGTAGATGAAACAGCTGCCATAAATGAAGCCATCAAGCAGGTTCTCTTTCTATCGCTTTAGATCATTTTTTAGGTAACTGTACTCAAATTTTCTGCCCACCCTTATGTGGAGGGAATTAAAAGGGCACATCAAGTCCTGTTCATAATCACAAGTTTTGAATTCTTGTCATTTTTTAGTTGTTACCTTAGCAATTCTANGGCACATCAAGTCCTGTTCATAATCACAAGTTTTGAATTCTTGTCATTTTTTAGTTGTTACCTTAGCAATTCTATTTGATTTGACGAAATTGAAGATATGAAGGAGATTAATAGCTAGAAGCCACAAACATTTAAGGAGAAATGAAATATTTGTTGAGTTTTAGTAACATGAATTNTATTTGATTTGACGAAATTGAAGATATGAAGGAGATTAATAGCTAGAAGCCACAAAACATTTAAGGAGAAATGAAATATTTGTTGAGTTTTAGTAACATGAAATGCCAACTGATTGGATTACCTGCCCAAACCATGGGGGCAGTGTGGGGGAAGAGTGTAAATTGAATTTATTCTATTACAGTTCTTCATAGGTTATGCCAATCTGTCTAGTAAGGTTTGTCTCTCACCTGGATTATATGCATCGGACTATCATATCTAAACTGTTACATAATAACAACTACAGATAAGAAAGCTGGTATCCTTGTTCATGACTTATGAGCTATATGATGGTTGTGTTCTGTCGTACTTCATGCTAATGTTGTCATCTCTTTAGTTTTTATTAAAAGATATATGTTCTTGATCACAAACATTTCAAAAAATATGAATGCATATGACATGTGTTTGTTTTTTTAAATTGACCATCTGTTGAGATCATTTTGTGTAATGATCACATGTTCTATTTTTTAATAGGCCAGCACAAAAAGATAGTTATCATTAAATTGTAATATGTTCACTTCATTTTCTGCGATTGCAGGCAGATGTTGATAACAGTGGAACAATCGATTATGCGGAGTTCATAGCTGCAACAGTGCATCTAAACAAGGTTGAGAGAGAAGACCATCTGTTTTCAGCTTTCTCCTACTTTGATAAGGACGGAAGTGGTTATATCACCCCAGACGAACTTCAACAAGCCTGTGAGGAATTTGGCATAAAGGAAGCTCACCTAGAAGAAATGATTCGAGAAATTGACCAGGACAATGTAAGTTATTCTTTTCCATCATTTACCATTTTATGACTACATAAATGAAGGATTACACATAGTGGAAAAAGCCGCTCTCTTGCTCTCTTGCCTATTTAAGAATAGGAACAAAATCAGGACACAATTTCTAACCCTTGCCAAGTTGACTAGAGCTTGGCCAAGTTACTCAACCTAGTCGAGAGATGGTAAATTTGGTGCAACTTAAATTTAAAAATGACTTGATCAAATTATGAGACCATTTAGAAAAGAACAGAAAATCCATTCCTGATGGTGTGAAATAGTTTTCAGATGAGAAATCAAGTAGACATGCTAAATCTTCTTTCAATATACGTGCTAAATATTCTTTCAATATACGAAATATCTAGCAATTTGGGTATCACTGACGTAAGATACTGAGTTAACTTTTGAGTTTAATCAACATTATATTTTCCTTTTCTAGAGTGTTAAGTGAGGTTTAGAAATACATTTGAGTAAGCTCTGATATTCTAGCAAATAGTGAAAATTTGAAATTCATCACCGTTACCACCATTGATGTCCTTTGTGACCGTATCAAAATTACACTATAGTTGATGATTATGTTATCATGGTAGACAATCATGATGATTTGATACGTCACATGATTAGCTACTGGAATTTCTGATTATGTTTCTCACTCGAGTTTTCAGGATGGGAAAATCGATTACAATGAATTTGTATTCATGATGCAAAAAGGAAATCCAAGTGTAGGTGGTAAAAAAGACGTAGAGGATAGTTTCAACATTGATTTATGCAGGCACTAAAACTTTAGCACCACAGGCTTTGGTGAGACTTTCTTCTTTTATTTCTCTTTCCTTCTTCGTCATGGAATTTTTGTGATGTTCGGATTGTATAGAATAGAGCATCAATCATCTCACCATCAGCCTTGATCTTTTGATGTATTTTTTAAACCCATTCCAATTTCCATATTTTCACTACTGTTATGGCTGCATCCAGCTTTGTTATCTAGTATACTACATTGAGGAATATATCTAGTTTCAATTTTTTAATTATTTTTTTTATTTGTTTTCTTTTATTTGAGATGAGTAATTTGTTGAATTTAATTTATCAAATTAATATTTTTGAAATACTTTAAGACACTAAAAGCTCAAGATAACATAGTCTGTTGGATTTAATCTCTTTTTTACTTAGAATTGATTTGAGCCACAAAACACTTGAGATAAGTTAGGTAATTCAAAACGCTTTCTACTTTATTATATAAATTTTGTTTGATGCTTAAATATGATGAGCCCAGATTTAATTGGGTTAAGCCCAAATTAGCTACAAGGCAAGTCAATCCCAGTTCATGGATTCGGCTTAGTTCAAAGTTCAAGAAGTCCAGAAAGATTAGTGCACGTGAGGATTAATTATTGAGATAGCCACTCTTCAAGATCAAGACTATCTTTGATTATATCAATCCTTAGCTGGAGCTATCCACTCCGAAGGATTAGTTACCCCTCTACACCACCGCCTCAATCAAGGTTCTGTATCTATAGATTCGAGAATNACTATCTTTGATTATATCAATCCTTAGCTTGAGCTATCCACTCCGAAGGATTAGTTACCCCTCTACACCACCGCCTCAATCAAGGTTCTGTACCTATAGATTCGAGAGTAATTGTCGATGCTCAATGGAGACTGAAGAGAATAGAAAAAAGTTGGCCCAGTGCATGTGGCTTTGTGCCTATGCAAGGTCTCTTCTGTCAGATGCACTCTAACCTTATCCTTATACTACAATTCAAATCCTTCAGGCTCATATTACAATGGAGTAACTCAATCTCAATCACAAAATTCTAAAAAAAATAGAACTTTAACTATTTTTTTATATATATTTTTATAGTTAGAACAAAGAATTTTTGGAACATAAAAGGTTTTCATAATCTTATAATAAAATCTTAGCAATGAAAAATTAAGTTTGACAAATTTATGTACCTAATACATTTTATCAATTTTTGTATACGAAAACTATTCACATGCAATGCACGTAGTGCATTATTAGTAAGTTATTCAAAGTCCCCATAATTATCTTTATTCACAACCAGTCATTTATCACCTCTATTTTCAATTGTCTGAACTAATTTCTCATCATGGATTACTATTAGCTCATCAAATTAATTGTCTACTCATCAAATACCACTTGTCTTTAGAATTCATCAATCATTTCAATAACGAGGAAAACTCCTAATCATTGCCATTTGTAATAGCTTGACTCCTAATTGCACACTCTCCATAATTCAATATTCTAGAATAAACTTCTAGATTGAACAGCTCCTGACATGTCTGGTCTTAAGTTGTACATAACCTAGTTCATCCAAGTTCCACCGGTGAGCCCGATAATATTTATCCTAGTCTCATTGATGTAACATCATAACCTTCTCTTGTCAATTCAGACACTAGCATTTAACCTAAGCAACATACCACCTAATTAGAAAATCGTACTATAGCTCTATAAACTCTCATTTTCATTTTGACAAACAATATCCCCCAATAGATTCCATTTTTGTATTTTCCAAACCTATGGAGAATTGTAAGTCTTGGTGGTGAGGTGGACACCACGATGTTCCTAGTAATCATAATCGTCAACTAAACACATAGTTCTCCAAGGAATCGATTTTCACTTTCCAATTATTTTTCTCACTTCATACGGGTGATGACAACTAACGCTTAACCCTAATAATATCAAATCTAATCAAATATTTTGTTGTGCACTCTGATACACATTATAATTCAAATTCAACACCCCAATTCAACATAGTTATAACTAGCAATAGATAAGAATTATCCAAAAGGTTTGAAGGGTTGGTGAAGATAGGTCGAATTCCACCAAAGTGCACAATTGAAACCTAACCATACATGTCTTCTAATTATTACTTTTAAAATGTATACACTAAAGATCCATTTTTTCCTTCTAAAGGGAATTTTAGTAAATAATCAAATATACTACTTGGCTTAAGGGTCAACTTATACCTAACCTTGAGCTACAATCAATAAACGATGTAATCAATCCTTAGTGGCTTTCATTAATCTCTTCATTATGTTAACGATACATATAATCTTCAATTTTCTTGATTCAATCTGGTACAAATAGATTTATTGTAATATACCCAAAAGTAAAGATAGACTACCAAGAAACCCAATAATATTTCTCAATTAAACACTACCAGATTTCTTATAACATAATCAAAACTAAAATAAGACTCCTAATTATTTAATTAATGTCATTCAACTTAACCACATTGGTCGTCATAACCTTCACAATCATTCATGATCCCTGATATCATAAGGATATGCTAGTTATTAGGATAACCTTGGCCATTTATCCCCAAAATTGTTTAAAATTTCTACATTCATGTTAAAGCCAATCGACATAGGTATCATCATTGATCCCTCAAATTACATTTTTCCAATCGTCATCACAACTAACCATAAAGATTTCATTTTCAAGGTTATAATGTTCACAATTCATAACAACGATCCTCCTGTCTATCTATTCAATCTATCTTAATGATGTATTAAGAGACACAACAAATTCTACACTATAAAACATAACACCAATCATATTAAGAGATCTCACGCCCGATAAAAACACAAAACTTTGTGTATCATCCTTATCCCAATAATTGTTCTCTATATTTGACCCCAAGCTTTTGAATATCTTTAATCTTTAGTCCAATAATATTGAGTGTAAAGGATAACTGACAATAATTAATCAAGCTTTCTAGGTTTCCTTATCATATGTCTCTATATTCGTTTTCATACCTTGACCTTAATGTTTTGTGGATTGTAACCTTAATTTCTTACTTGTGTATTTTGTCACGAAATTGTCAAAGGGNTATCTTTAATCTTTAGTCCAATAATATTGAGTGTAAAGGATAACTGACAATAATTAATCAAGCTTTCTAGGTTTCCTTATCATATGTCTCTATATTCGTTTTCATACCTTGACCTTAATGTTTTGTGGGTTGTAACCTTAATTTCTTACTTGTGTATTTTGTCACGAAATTGTCAAAGAGAGAGATTATTAGATCATATATTTATAATTGGATAATTTCAAATAATTTATTGTAAATCTCAACCTATTCCATGATCATAATGATACAACGATGCAGATCTAATAACAATATTAAAAGAAGGAGATCATGTGTCAAAACAACATCAAAAGCACTCCGAATGCACCTTAAAGCTAAAGACAAAGTTAANTCAAAGAGAGAGATTATTAGATCATATATTTATAATTGGATAATTTCAAATAATTTATTGTAAATCTCAACCTATTCCATGATCATAATGATACAACGATGCAGATCTAATAACAATATTAAAAGAAGGAGATCATGTGTCAAAGCTACATCAAAAGCACTCCGAATGCACCTTAAAGCTAAATACAAAGATTATGACCTAGAGAACAAAGATGATCCCTTGATTTAATAGACTTAGGAGGATTAGAGTTAAATGAAATCAATATTAATTCGTGTATGGCTCCTAGGTGTTTTTTAACAAAAAGATTTTCTAAAATTGTTTTGTATTTTAAAAAACATCGTTTGACCCATTAGCAGACCCCTCTTGAGCAACACCCTTAATGTTCAAGAGGATAAGTTTTTTGCTTGATTTTAGGCTGAAAAAATTAGTAGGAACTGTCCTATGCTCGCTAGCATTTTTTAGAATGGTCTCTTTATGACTTAGGGAAGAAAATCAAAAATGCTAAATGGAGGAGATAATAACTCGTCATCTGGGGTCGCTTGAGTGGTCCCCATGCTCTCTCGAGTGGCTTGATCTCCAAGGTCATTTTGAAACAAGTTTTTCATTCCAATTGACTNATTTTAGGCTGAAAAAATTAGTAGGAACTGTCCTATGCTCGCTAGCATTTTTTAGAGTGGTCTCTTTATGACTTAGGGAAGAAAATCAAAAATGCTAAATGGAGGAGATAATAACTCGCCATCTGGGGTCGCTCGAGTGGTCCCCATGCTCTCTCAAGTGGCTTGCTCTCCAAGGTCATTTTGAAACAAGTTTTTCATTCCAAT